GAGTATTTGAAAAATGGTAGCTGTGAATCCAGCTCAGAAATGCTCACATGAGAACATTGAGGAAACCTGCCAGAAGGCAAAAAAATTGCTGAGTATTTTACCAAACCTCTGAGTTTTCTGGTGGCTGGAGGGCAATAAAACTATGTTTCCTACAACTAATAGGTTAACTTAAAATGAAATAAAAATCAACAGTACATTACTCAGCATTTGGCTGCTTGTCCCTTTCCAAGCCTTGTCCTTTCCCTGCTGTTTCCCTGGCCAAAGAGCACAACTTGGCCACAGCTCCAGATTCCTCCTAGGATGTATCTACAGTCCAGGACTAGAAACATGTTCAGCAATGTGGACAGCTTAGGTCTGATGGGCCAGTTCTTGAAATTTTAAGGGAGCTTTTAGCAGTAGAATGTTAGCAGTAAGATCTTGTTTGTGGGTGTCTTCTGTTTGATATTTTAGACTAAAAAAAATGCACTGATAACAGCAATAAGATTTCTGCCAAGTCTATATCATTTATAGAGATATGTCGGTGTGCAAAGTGTGAGTGACAGGCTCTTGCTGTTGAAGTAGACATAGGTGGGAGGTTTTTCATGCTTTAATGTGGGGACTCCCAGGTTTCTGGTTGTATCACTAGGGGTGATGAATCCTGCAGCTCGGGAGATGATGTGTAGTTGTTGAGTTGCATGGCCAATAGTCACACACCTCAATAACAGACCTTGCATATGACCAGGGACCTGTAACCTGCCCACTGCAAAGCCTGATTGCAATCTGTTATTGACAATAACTGGCCAGAAAATGATTCACTGTTTTGGATTTTTTTTTCTTTTTTGCCTTTTAAGAAAAATCCAGTATTTTGAATGCCTTCTCTCTGAACTGTAGTGAAAGTTTGGCAATGTCTGGAGAACCAGAAATCTGATTTCCTTTCTCCCATAGATCAGCCCGTTGTTCTGCTTCATCTATGTGGAAATGCCTTATTGACTTACTCATTTTGATTTTATTGTCTTGGTTTGTTGTACTGTGAAATTTATACCAAGATGTTAATGTAATAATAGTATGTTTATTGGAAATACGTAAATGTAAAACTAAAACACTGTTTTAAAATAATACCTGAACAGAACAAATTGGAAGGCTAAAATGCCAAATAAAACCAAAACATTTCCACTTTAAATGGCACTTTTCCACTTTAAATGACATTAAAATGTCATTTTGGGGCTTGCTGTCACATCACATGCCATCCCACTTGCTTGCTGTCAAAAATGTCTAATGAGAAAGCCGCCACTTTTCCCAGCTGATTACTGTCCTTTCTAGTGCCTTTCTAGCCCTTCCTTTAGCATTTTGTTCTTAAACTTGTTCTTATTCTTTCCCACACATCCCAAGGCTAGAAAATTTGTCACTGCAAATGATGACGGCATCCAGCAGGCAGGTACGATGACTCCTGCATTAACAGCCTGGGTTTTCAGAATCAGAAGGTAGTTAGAAAAACAAGACGGGATCAGAAGGAGAACTTGGCATGGCAAACAAACCATGAATACATTCACATCAGTCTAGGGCATCATGCATTACCCAAGGAATACCTCACAGTCATCAGGATGCAGAGGTTGACACTAACTTCTCTGGTCAGTCATGCTGAGGAGGGCAGTCGAGGCTGGAATCTTCTCAAATCCAGCTACCTCTGAAAAGACATTTGCTTTAACTCAAGCAAAAACCATGGCTGTAGTTAGGTTGTGTCAGTGGTTATGGAAGCACAAAGGCTTTCCAGCCTGGCAAAGCACTTCTATGGCGATTTTCCAGCTGGAGCATCCCAGCAGTTTAAGCACTCTGATGATGAGCCTCAAGCTGCTATTTCATTAAACGCTTCATCCACGCTGTGACATCTGGAGGGGGCAGCCGAGCTCACTGCAGCCCAGCTTGTAGTCTCCACACTGGACAATGACAGACACCAGCAACGGTGGTCCCATCCCAGCAAACCCAGGATGGCTCTGCTCCACGGACAATTCCAGTTCCTCTGCCACCACCGGTGCTGGATGGCTGAAGGAGTGCTCCAATGGAGTGAACCAGGCGCTTTGTGAAAGCAGACCTCACTTCCTGGGGGGGGGAAAAAAAAAAAAAAAAGAGGTATTTGCCATCTCCCTGCTGAGAACAGGTCAGAGTCAAAGTCTGAGAGACACAAGCCAGGGCACAAACCCAGGCTAGAAAACCCACATCCATCAGTCTGAAGCATTTGACTTCAGTGGGAACTAGATGGGATCTTCTACTGAACCTCCAGCAACAGGAGGAATGAATGGATCTGGTATTTAAAACAAGCAGTTCTTTAGTAAAGGGACATGTGTTGATGTGTTAGAGGGAGAGACAGCTCTTCCTTGCTTGGGGACATGGGGACCCACAACAGTGGCTCTGCAGAATGGCAGGGCCACTCTGGGGACAGCATGAGCCATTAATGGTTTGTCTGTTTATGTTGCAAGTGGGCTTGGGAAGAGCCGTAAATGTGTATTTTCCTCTTGAAATATTGAATCACTGTTTTCATTTTCTGAGGCCTGGGGAAAAATTATGTTTCATATTTTAAAAATAAACACACTTTTACAGAAGTATAAATGCAGGCCTATAGTATCCAGCACACCTTTGCCTCTCACCTTATTTTCAAAGCTTTAATATTGCTTGTGTGCCCCAACCTCTGCTAGCGAAAATATTCACCTGAAATGTATTTATCTTTCTTTGCTAATTAGCAGTAAAATGACACAGAGAAACTTTATATTTTCCTCAGCAAGAACAGCCATAGAGACTTCATTTACAGAGGGCTCTGAATGATCCCTATTCATGGCAAGCAAGTACTGTCTGCACCAATAGGTCCTTGTATGCATCGCAAAGTAACAGGAGAAACCCCATTGCAGACAGAGCTGGAGGCAAAATCTCCAGGATTTTATGCTTTTATTTCACTTTGTTCCTTAATAATTGTAAATGTATTTGTGTGTCTGTGCTACATATGAGGAGAGCATATGTACCTGTGCATATTTAAACAGACAGATATCTGTATATAGCACTTACTCATATTTACAATCATTTAAATTCACATATATGCAAACATGTTCATGAAAAGCATGCATGGAAGAGAGTTATGTGTCCGTATAATTGTCTACATAAATGTTGAACATACATGTGCACAAGCATGTGTTCATGTATATATACATGTGTGTGCATATGTATGTACATCTATGCATACTTTCACAGGTACACACACATATACATAGAGCTTTTATATAGGGCTCTCTGTGCTTGCATATGCACCTACAAATGTCTGCCTGTGTTTTCTGTCCTGATTCTGCAATTTTCCCGTCCTGCACAGTAGCCCTTTTTATTCCCAAGTCCCTGAAGGAAGAAGTAAATGAATTAAGATGCTATCAAGTTGGGAAAAGGGAAGGTGGGTCTGAGCCTCAGTGATAGAAAGGTAAAATGGGAGAAAAACAAAATTCCAGGCAAACATTTTCTCCTCATTAAAAATTCCCAGCTAGCTCTAGAGTCGGTGGAGGCTTTGTGATAGTGTCTGTGCATACCTGGGAAGAGACAGGACAGTTGTGGGATAAATCCATGATGATTTTGCACGGGAACATATCCATCTTTTAACAGCTTAATTAACATGTTTCATGTCAAAAGTGTTACAAAGAGCCTGACAACTTTACTAAAGACCGGTCCTGTTTTCCCCTATCAAAGAGCCTTCCTCTACAGGAGCTTTCAGTCCCCATTGAAGCTCTTTTGGAGCAGAGTGTGACTCAGAGGAAGGAAAGAGGAAGTGGCCTTTGAATTAAAGGTAGTTTGCCATGGAAATGCAGCAGCACGGTGCAGATGAAATGGGGGAGCGCTCCAAGGTTGCATGGCTAGAGAGGTAAGCAAAGACTAATTGGTCCCGGGGGAGGCTTTAATCAACCATCAACAGTGTAGCTTTACAGTAGTTATACAAAAAAAATTAATAGAAACAAGGAAAAACAACGAAATAATAGATGCACTGCTTCGTGATGAAAGCCTCATTAAATCCATATTACCACCGTACCAAAATCTCCCTGCTGCTCCTCTATATAAAGAAGACATTGGTTTTCTGTTCGCTTGCGGCAGCATTGCTCTTATTTGTTGGTTTAGATTACTAGCTTTCTGTGGCAGGAGCTGCCTGTCCCTCGTGTGCACAGACCTGAGTACACCGCTGCAAAAAATAAATCCAACTTACAAGTCAGCTGTCTTTTCCTCCATTTCTTGTCTATTTATCTGGTTTAGGTGGCTGAGCTCTTTCTCAGTTGCCCCCTCCCTCTTTCTTTCCCTCTCCCTGCTCTCCCGCAATGGGGCCAGGGGCTCACAGAGAAGCAACTGTTTCCCTCAAGAAGAAATTTTCTCCTGTCTCCTGTTTGCTTGTTGGTGCCTCACCGCTGTTCCTCTTGCCTCCCTCTGCGCCAAGCAAGTTGCCCACAAGCTAAGCCAGAGAAGTGAAGGCCCCCACGTCCCGACGTGTCAATTTGTGTGACTCCAGCCCTGTCCCCGTCCCGCCACCTCCCCCTGGCCAGGTTTTGCCACAGGAAGAATGCAAGGCTGGCACCTCTGCGGACCATTTCCTTGCTGGGGCCAAGCCCGGGATATGCAGATGGGAGCCGGTGATTGACAGGCCAAGCCCAGTTCCTCCAGGCTGGCATCACTGGTCCCACTGTTGTGGTCCCAGATTCCCCGCATACCAGGCCCTTGCTGGTCTCTTTATAGCTCCCCATGCCCTTTGCGCAGCAATGAGGCCATTGTGGCAGAGCCGGGGGCCGGCAGGGCTGCGTGTCCCTCCCTGTCAATAACCATCCGCCCCCCTCCTCACCTGCAGGAAAGATTTCATCCAGGGCGTCCTTGCTGGCCCCTCGGTGCCCCCCCAGGCGCTCCACACGTGTCAGGGGCTGGCCTCATGCCTCCCCGAGGAAGGGCAGGTTAATACCTGAGGGCCAAGGCTCCCACTTGCTACTCTGCATCCAGCCTCCGGCTCCTTCGCAACCATGGACAGGATTTTCTCTGGCTTTCTTCTCTCTTTGCTGCTTCTCCTTCAGAGCTATGGGGTCTATGGGGCACCTCCGCGGACACAAGGTAAGTGGAGAGCTCAGCACAGGGGAGTATGTGGGTCTGCTCTGTACATTCCAGCCTGAGTAAGGCTGGGAGGGAAGATGAAGAAGCAAATGAGAAAGATACACCCAACATCTGCCAGGAAAGCAAGGACGTTTACTCAAGTATTTTTCCAAGGCAGGAAAACCTGGAGGTCTCTTTGCTCCTGCCTATTTCGTTGCTTTAGAGTAATACTGAGAGCCCTGTATGGACACAGAGCAACTGAAGGTGGCACCAGGTCTGCCCTAGCCCACAGCCCACAGGTTTTGGCTGGAGGAGGTCCACGCAGGAGAGGACCTCTCCCATGACTTCAGAAACCTCTTCTCTTCCTCTTTGCAGCTGCGGAGGGCTAGTTTTGCCAAGTGCTCCAGAAGGGAGTTGGCCGGACATCCCGAGCTCTGGTTAACCTCACTGAGTAGGAAAGTCTGGGCCAGGTTCCTGGGGCTGGGCCTTACCTAGGTTTTACTTAACCCGTTCTTGAGCAAAATCAGCTCTGTTTGTCTTTTCAAGGTAGATGTAAAGTAGCGAGACAGGAAACGAGCTGCCTGCTTTGAGATTGAGCGGTTTGATTTCAGGGTCTGTAAGTCCCAATTTGTAATTAGTGTCAGCAAGTCATGGACACAAAAGAGGAGAGCTTGAGCACCTCCTTAGAAAGAGCTTAGAAAGGGTCTGTCCTTTGCCATGGGCAGGATGCTGCTATGGGCTCTAGCCAACCTGAGAAACTCACTGCAGCAGGAGGTGGCCACAGCAAGCTTTAAAGATGTTTGAAAGATCTTACTACAATTAATAATGTATATTTCTGGGTAGATCATGACACTTGTAAAAGCCAGGTGTGATGGTGGCTGCAGCATTAACTGCAGCTTATGAAGGGGACTTTCCTGATATACTGACTAGTTTCTCCTTGGTATTTTTGAAGAGAGATATATTTGCAGCAGAACTAAGCATGAGATACCACTGAATAAAGAAACCAAATGGACTGTTCATCCAGCCCAGCTCTAATGCAAGCAGTTGCAGTTTCTAGCACATCTTTTAGTTCTGAATTACTAGGCAGGTCTTCTGGTCTTTTAATTAGTTTAGCAATAGTGCTCTAAGGTTTTTTGTTTGTTTGAATATTAAAGCAGTGCCTGAAATTCAGTTATTCCTGAATAACTTCCAGTGTGGACACTATTGAAAATAGAGGACAGTTTTACTGAGGTTTAATTCAACTTTGAAAGAGACTATGCTGCATCAAGGTGTCACTCAGAGCAAGCGTGCTTGAATGTCACCAGCAGAGATAACCGAGGGCCACCTGTAGGCCCTCAGGTGTGCACAGTGGCTATGACTAGACAGATGGAAATCCCAAATCCCATCTTATATCTTTTTTTTTTCCTCTTCATTTCCCTTAAATATATTGTAGTCTTATGAAAAGACATTTAAAATGTTACTTAGGGCAAAATCACAGAGCTTTTATGAAAAAAAGAAAGCACACTTCAGCATTTCTATTGGATCCAGCTATTCCTAGGGGAACATTCTAACTTTTCCTCCTTGATTTTTCACTAAAAACAAATTTTATTCATTAGCTACAGTAGTAAAGTGGAATCTGTGCTTTCATTTGAAGGAACTGATTGCAAGATGCTCAGTCTTTCTCTATATCTTCATTTCCCACCTGTAAAATGGGTATAACTAACCCTTGCTAAAAGAGTTTGCAAACTTGTATAAGATGGACTGTCAGCTGAGTGTTTTCCTTCCATTGCAATGAATTATGGTGGCAAAGTGAAAGTTACCCCTCTGGGAAAAGGTTATACTGCATTTCAGTGGAAACTCGAGCACCTGACACTGTAACTACCGCCTGCTTCCCTTCTACACAGAGCATCATTTAGAGAAACCTTGTCTGGAAGCCAGAAACAGATTCAACATTACTGTCTCTCTGGAAACTAACCTGATTATATTCTTTATGGATATATCACAGCGTATTTATTTTTGTGTGCCTGAAAGACTGAAAGCTCCTTTAGATTTCACACTGAGGACCAGCTATAATATTTATGTCACAATTTGGAACAGCTTTGTTGGCCAAAAAGTGCACATTTAAAAATCTGTCTGCAGAAATTTCCTTTATGATATAACCTATATCGTTCCTCCATGTGGAAGTCAAATACTAACAGAGCACTTGATACCCCCACAGAGACAGGTTAAATGATAGAAAAGTAAAAAATAAAAGAACAGAATGCAATAGATCCGGTGAGGAAAATGGGACAATTCATTTAAAAAATCATTTAAAATATCACTCTTTTTTATGTTTTGCCTCAGTTGGAAATTAGGATGGAAAACTTCATGAAAATGAGAAAAAAAAAAAAGCCAGTTTCTTTCATCGCTAATGTTTTCTGTTTATGCCATTTATTTCTACAGTGAATATTCATATCTTAGTATGACAGGAGTTGTACATATTAATTAGGAATTGTAGGGTCCTGCATCTCTCTATTGTATTCTCTCTCAGCAGGTCACAGAACTAAAACAGTGTTGGTCTTTGCTGTATTACAGTGTTTCATTACTAGTGTCACTGGCTAAAAAATGGGAGATCAGGTCATATTCTGTTAGGTAAATCTGTGAAATTTGATTCATGATTGAATCCAAATGGTTAAATTTCATGCCTGCTTCTGGTCATGCAAAGACACAATCTTGTTAATTAGTATCCATGTGGCTTGCTTTTACACATCCAAAATTATCATTTCATTTTAGATTTTGTTTGATACAGAATGGCATATATAAGCTCCAGTTCAAAGCTTTATTCCTCTTTCTGTGCTGCCATAAGTGAATTAAGTTTCATGTAGACATTAGCAATAGCCTGGGGTTACAAGTGGGGAACCTGCTTCCGCAAGTGCAAAGCTGGTATCTCATCAGCTCGTTGCTTTGTAAGCACAAGCTATACATGAATAGCTATGTTTTTCTTACAGACACTTTTCTGTGAAAGGAAAAGAACATCTAGCAACGTTAGAGCGGTCTCTCTGGGTCTCTGTAAGACAGAGGGAGAAAGGATTTGAGCTCGTGGGTCCTCTAGCCTCAGCCAACTGCTTGAAACCCTAAGTCCATTTTTACTCCAGGATATTTTGCTCTTCATTTTCCTTTATCTTTCTTCTCCATCTTTATCCTTTCCAGGCACCCTGTGCAGAACCAAGCCCACTGATTTGGTGTTCGTCATTGACAGCTCTCGCAGTGTGCGCCCACATGAGTTTGAGAAAGTCAAAGTATTCATGTCCCGGGTGATTGAGGGACTAGACGTGGGCCCCAATTCCACCCGGGTGGGTGTCATCAATTATGCCAGTGCCATAAAGAACGAGTTCTCCCTCAAGACCTACCAAACCAAAGCTGGCCTCTTGCAAGCCGTCCAGAGGATAGAGCCGCTCTCCACTGGGACCATGACTGGCCTGGCTATCCAGTTTGCCATTAACCGCGCTTTTAGTGACTCAGAAGGGGCCAGGGTGAGGTCTCCCAACATTAATAAGGTAAGCAAATTATGTTTCATTACTGCATGGGAAAGACTTGAAGATACTTCTTTCTGTGGTTCACCGTTGAATGGTTGGGAAAAAAAATTAGAAAAGAGACAAAGGTGATTCTGTGCTCAAGTTAATACTGACATATGCTCAGTGAGATGTTAAATGCTTTGATTGTGTGGGAACAAATGGAGGTTAACTGTCAAAAGTGAAAAGACTCCCAACTCTCTTTGAAAGCAAAAGCTCGAATTTTCTTTGGAATTTAAAAATACCCCCCAAGAACTCACAAGGTAAAAAAGGTGGATAAGAGTTGTATGGGTAAAATTAATCTAGCTTCACCAGCTTTCCTGCATCTGGAGTCCTTACAGTGCATGCCTTTTGGGACGTGATGCCCTGCTTCCAATGTGCCTGTGACAACATACAGCGGTAAAGTGCTGATTTCAGTGAAAAATGAGGCAAACTTCTGACAGTTTCCACTGTGAAGAATCCTTTAACATGTACATATAAAGCAAAGTGCTGTTTCAGTGTCCTTCATAAGTCTTTCAATTTTTTCAGAGGCTAATTAATAGCTATGTTTTCTGTTGTGGATATTGTCTTTAGCTACACAGACTTTGATGATTATTTGGCATTTAAGGTGTAATATAAAAACAGTTTAATCCTACACCCGATTCCAATGGCTGTCATGGCTTCTGGACCAGATTCCCTGTCCCAAAATCTCAGTTTAACAATTTTTTCCCAGATGCCTCAAACTCTTTCATTTTGGCCCCGAGCGTAACCAGACCAGTCATCAGGAAATCTCCCCTCTGAGTAGGTAGATTTGCGTATTCTTGACAATAAGTGTATTAGGTAAACATGAATGCACCTCTTAGAACCTTGTGCCCCATGCCAGCTCCACTGTCTCTCTGCTTTGGGACAGGACCAGAAAAATAAGCAAAGGTTACATGCAGGTGTTTAGAGCTTTCAACCAGATAGACAAAAAAAAAAAAAAAAATACCAGTTGCTGGAGTGAGGAAGTCTGGAAGCTTTTGCCTGATTACAACATTTTTGGAACAAGTCACTTTCCATTTCCATCTGCTGCTAGTAATGCAACAGGGAAAGCAGATTTTCGAAGAGCCAAGTATTGAAAGAAGATGCCCAAGGAGGTCAAGTTATAAATATTACTGAAAGGTGAAAAATAGGCACTAGTACAGATCTGCCAACTCCAAAATTGAGCAATTCTCTCAATTTTCTCCATGATTGCTCAGTACCTCTAGGTCAAGGTGTCTTGCTTAAGTGTACAGAGTGGGATAAGCTCCAAGTAGGAGGGACATCTGCTTGGGCTTGTCTTGCCTCCTACACTGCTGTCAGCAACTGTCCAATGTGCAACAGTAAATGCGGTAGCAATCTAGAAGGGTCGGTGCTGCTCCTTTCCTTGGAAATTGTCAGCTCTTGCCAGGTAATGACTTCACATCATCAAATTTCAAATTGATGCTTTTGAACACCTTTATAGATGGACATGGGTGCACTTGATGAGCATGGATTCATAGTGAAGAAAATCTCAGGATGTTAATTTAAGGCAGAAAAATGTCACTGGAATTGAGCTCTTTCCCAGGCTCCATCCATTCTACTCTAGCTGGCTCAGAAATTCTTTCGAAAGAAAAAGATCCAGGAGCACGGAAGTGGCTGCAGCTGTTGTGTTCCTTTAAGATTTTCAGTATGAGCACTGGGCCAGCAAAAGAACAGCAAAGGAGCCCTGACTATTTCATGTATCTGCCATATTCTACGTGAGGAGCTAATTGCTGGAAAAGCATTTCCAGTCCCCTCCAGGTGACTGGTCCTACATGGAGGATAACCCTCATACAGCTCCACAGAGTCCTCAAACCTATGAGTTATCCTTATCTAGTAGGTGCAGGAAATCAAGAAATAGGAAACCTATGGCTAATCATTGAACCCAGAATGGTACCAGGATTATGAAGAGTTTCAAAGGAGGGGTCTGACTTCCAGTTATATTGTAGGAAAGTACCTGCTGTTGCATTTAGCCTTTTTCTTACTATTTATTTTTCTAAATGAATAAAAAAACAGAAGCTTTTTAGATCCATTTTCTTCTGGGACCACTACCAATCCATGAATCCATTCGTGCCCTTTAGACATTTCACCATTTTCATGTATCTTCTCCTTTCTTTATCTAAGTCCACAATGTATACTTCAAGAAGAGGTGACTAGGTCTGTGTCATGATGAGGACCCTTCCAACCTTAATGATTCTATGAGGACACAGTCCTGGTTTATATAAAACTGTTATAACATTTTCAGTATTAGCATCTGTGTGTTTCTTAACACAGTCTGACATCTTGCACGTGGTGTTGACCATTGCTATAAACTGAAGAGACGTTTTTTACTGGACTGTCTATGAGAATACCTGAATCTTTACTTACCTAATGTCTTTCACACCATTTAAGTAACCCCTTTCCTTGTGCACTTTTTTCCCGCTCTTGGCTGCTTCTCTGCTGGGCTGCCAAACAACTCACCCAAAAAGCTCTTGCATTCCTTAGAGTTTCCTTTCATCTCAGAAGGCATAAGAGCTGCTGTGCCAATGTATTTGTTCTGTTATTAAATTAGCCAAGACTTTAGTTTACATTTCTAGGGGAAAAAAAATAGCAGCTCACTAAAATAACATGGCTAAAGAATTGCTTTGGTTCCCTGAAACTTTAATGTCCTGGACATCTCGAAAGAGAGCAATGGTGATCTTCATTATTGATCTTGGGCACTATAAAGGAAGAAAATGAAATCATTACAAGCTTTCACCTCTTTCCTTCTGCTTTGGATCTGGTCAAGGAGACCATTTTCATTCCTTGATTCTGTGCTTATGTTTTTGTTGTTGTTGTTGTTGTTGTTGTTGTTTGTTTCCTTGTTTATTACTTTTTTCACCATGCTTTGATGTCCAGCAAACCCTTTCCCTTCTGTGATTGTCATGATGCTCAGGATATTCCTCACCATCTTCCTGGAAGGAAGAATGGCCCACCCAGTAATTCAGGGAGGTGAAGCTTCCAGAAACACTGGGCATAGCCCTTGCTCCCTCATGCAGTAAAAATCCAGCAAGACCTTTGTGAAAATCTGCACTATGAATTTAAACCATGTTGATGCTGATTAGAGCATCACAAGATTATTTGGTCTTGCTGTGCTTCAAACAGCAAATCTCATCCCAGGACAGGGAAAAATACTATTTGTTTCTGCAGGAATTCAAAGTAAAGTCTGTTTATATGTCTATTAAAAATGCAGGGTCTCCAATTTCTTTTATCTTTCTTTAGGTGGACTACAAACATATAGTCAACTTGCTGAGAAAATCAAGGGCTTATTCAACTTCCTGCTCAATTCCCCTTCCAGTATCACTACAACATTCAAGTAATTCACTGTATAATGAGACATGGCTACCTCATTAGCTGTGGGATTGCCTACGCATGATAGTTTCTGAAATATGAATATCTAGGGAAGCCTGTGAATACTCTGGTGTCTTACTTAGCCAAGAACAAATTGTGCCCTGAGAATACAGGGGGGTTCTATATGACAGATACAAGACAAGAGGGAGACTCTGGCTTCAGCAAGTTAGAAAAGTAGTGGCTAAAATAAGCAAAGGTTTTGATGTTGAAAAGCAGAAATTTCTGAGTTGCTGAATTTCCTTAAGGTGAAGTTGGAAGACCTGTCCTTTTGAGAAAGCAGATGAGAACACTTCTTAATTCTTCTCCGGTCGCAACCTGCTAAGCACAAACCCTCTCTCTGCTGCAGGGCCATGTGTCAGCCTCTCTAGGATGGGGTAGCTGTTACTTTCTTCCCCCCGTCTTGCCTTCTGCTCTTTACCAAACAAGGCTCCATGTTTCATGTACCACACACTAGCACACTCAATATTTCAAATGAGAATAAATCACAGTGCAGAGTTACTGAGATCCTGGGACTGCAAATAATTTGGCAGGAGGTTTGAAACAAAATGATGTATTTTCTCATGTTATAAATCAGGCTGGTAGACAGGGTAAAGTTTAAAAAGAAAATCCTGGGAAAACCAGATTCTCCTGATAGCTCCAAATGTATATACTAGGAAAAGATCTCCTTATACTTGTTCTAGTTATTAAATTCTTTTTGCAAGTAACTGGGCCTTGGCACTGTCACAGACAAGTTTCCTGGCTGACTGGAACACTTGGGCTGATGCCCAACTCCCTTGGGCTCACTGACTGACTCATGATGCCTAATGGAACTCTAGGCCTGTTCTCTCCAACTTCCAACAGCAGTTCAGAAAGCAATAACCCCAGACACCAGTACAGGCTGGGGACTGACCTTCTGGAGAGCAGCTCTGCGGAGAAAGACCTGGGTGTCATGGTGGATGGCAAGTTGACCATGAGGCAGCAGTGTGCTCTTGTGGCCAAGAAGGCCAATGGGATCCTCGGGTGCATTAAGAAGAG